ACTCTTCTTTTTGCCCTTATGCCAACCTCTGCCCAGGACCTTCCTGTGGCTCGATTCGCTTCAACGTAGACTCGTTTGGATAGTGCTTCACGTCCCGAAAACGCTCCAAGAAACCGTTTACGAATCCGTCAACTCCTCGTGGAGGTACGTCTGTTTGTACTTTCGTGTTTTTGCACTTCTGCTAAACTCTGCCCAAGGCCTTCCTGTGCCTCGATTTCCCTCAACGTAGACTCGTTTGGATACTACTTCATGTCCCGAAAACGCTCCGACAAACCGTTTACGAAACCGTCAACTCTTCGTGGAGGTATGTCTGTTTGTATTTTCGTGTTTTTGCACTTCTGCTAAACTCTGCCCAAGACCTTCCTGTGTCTCGATTTCCTTCAACGTAGACTCGTTTGGATACTACCTTACGTCCCGAAAACGCTCCGACAAACCGTTTATGAATCCGTCAACTCTTCGTGGAGGTACGTCTATTTGTACTTTCGTGTTTTCGCACTTCTGCTAAACTCTGCCCAAGGCCTTCCTGTGCCTCGATTTCCCTCAACGTAGACTCGTTTGGATACTACTTCATGTCCCGAAAACGCTCCGACAAACCGTTTACGAAACCGTCAACTCTTCGTGGAGGTACGTCTGTTTGTATTTTCGTGTTTTTGCACTACTGCTAAACTCTGCCCAAGACCTTCCTGTGGCTCGATTTCATTCAACGTAGACTCGTTTGGACACTACTACACATCGTGAAAACGATCCAACAAACCATTTACGAATCCATCAACCCTTCGTGGAGGTACGTCTGTTTGTAATTTCATGTTTTTTGGACTTGTAATAAACTATGCCCAGGACCTTCTTGTGGCTCGATTCCCTTCAGCGTAGATTCGTTTCGATACTACTACACGTCCCGAAAATGCTCCAACAAACCATCCATGAATCCGTCATCCCTTCGTGGAGGTATGTCAGTTTGTATTTTCATGTTTTTGCCCTTATGGTGAACTCTGCCCAAGACCTTCCTGTGGCTCAATTTCCTTCAACATAGACTCATTTGGACACTACTTCACATCTTGAAAACGCTCCAACAAACTGCTTATGAATCCGTTGACCCTTTGTGGAGGTATGTCTGTTTGTAATTTCGTGTCTTTTGAACTTATGCTAAACTCTGCCAAGACCTTCCTGTGGCTTGATTCCCTTCAGTGTAGACTTGTTTTGATACTACTACATGTGTGCAAGTAGTAGAATAGCAGTGGGTACCCTTCACACCTTTAACACCAGTCTGTTCAATGGTGGCACCCCCCACAGCACAGTTGATGGTAATTGAATCCATATGCTTGGATCTTGGCACTTAGCATGCATGCAATGAAGAGGAAATGGTGGGATTTGAGAACCCAGTGAATTACTCCACAAGACGAACATGGTTGAAGTGTTTGGACTGGCCAAGATGACAACAGGCGCATAGAGATGGCATGGTGAAGCTGGCGTATTGCTCAATGAGACAATTGTGGTAGATACGTGGCACTTGAATCGTTTGGATTGGCCAAGACGATGATGGGCATGCAAAGGAGACAGATAGTATGCAGTAGATAGGGAATGTCACGGGTTTGTAAACCCGTGCGGGTTGATGCCACGGGTTTGTATGGGTACGGGTCCGGGTTGGGGCCTAGTAACCCTCTCCTAACCCGTACCCATGCTGCGGGCATGGCGGGTTTTGGCACGTGAATGTTCTTTCAACCTCAACGGGTATTCGGCACTACCCAGAGAATATTGCCAATTGCACGGCAATGCAAACGGCAGACCTTCCTACTGTACAGTACCTGTGGCGTTGGTCCAATAAAAAAAAAATTGTATCGCTAAAAAAATCCACATCCCAGAACCACATCCCACATCCCGATCCTATGCCGACAAATTCTCCTGAGGCCTCTGGCCCTCGTAAACGTAAACTTTCAGCAAAGGTGACTACTAATGGTGACCCTGAGGTGGAACGAAAGAAGAAGAGATTAGAAGCGAAGGAACAGAGCACGAAACCGGCACCTACCCAAAAGCACTCGAAGACTACAACAAAGGCAGCCGCGAAACCAGCCCCACGACCACGACACCCCTCCGTTGAGGTTGAGGAGGTTGAGGATGAGTCTGCTAACCGCACTTCCATCCCACCTCACAATCCACAACACATCCTGGAGGCCGCCGATGGGAGTGACGATGATGTCGACACCCCAGCACCACCTCGGAAATCCAAGAAGAAACCTGTGGTTACGAAACGGCGCCCCTCCGTTGAGCTCGAGGACGTTTACGACGATGAGGCGGATCGACATACCTCTGTCCCACCTCGCAATCCACAACACATCCTGGAGGCCGCCAATGGGAGCGATGATGATGAGGAAGCTCCTGTCCCTGATATAAACGAGGAGCACGAGGCGCCTGAAGAAAGTGATGAGGCTGAATTGGGTACGTACTTGATCATCGTGTCATATCCTGAACTGACCATCAGTATGTAGAGCGCCTGTCTAAGGATTGGACTTCACCTATCTACGTCTTTTTCAGGACGTCACCTCGCATTGACTACGTGGATGGCCGTCGTGCTCACGTATTTGAATGTGCAGCTGGGAGATGTCGAGGTAAGAATGGAAGGGTCGTCCGTCGATATTTAGACAAGGGCGACGCGAAGTCAACAAGTGGCCTGCGTCGTCATGCAACCAAATGTTGGGGTGCTGAAACCGTGAAGTCGGCAGATGGTACCAAGGATTTAGAGGCTGCGCGCGCAATCTTGTTGAAGACGAAGTTGCGTGATGGGACGATTACGGCCGAGTTCGAACGTATCGGGAAAGGCAAGGTCACCTATTCACACCGTCAGCATACTTCAACTGAAGCAAGGTAAGCAACATACCTTTAAACGACACTTTTCACCTGACTTCCTGTGCCACTGTAGGGCTGAAATTGTCCGTTGGGTGTCCGAGAATAAGCGGCCCTTCAAGATCGTAACTGATCGAGGTTTCCGCAGCCTCATGAAAACCGGACGGCCCGATTACCACCTTCCCTCTGCTGAAACTTCGTCCCGCGATGCACGGGTCGTGTTCGTCAACGTCCGAAGACGCATCGCCAATATGTTACAAGTAAGTCATAATTGAGTATTCCTCATTGTGAACTCACCTCAAAAACCACTACAGGAACACGTAGGGGCACTAAGCTTCGCAACCGATGCATGGACATCCCCCAACCACAAGGCATACGTGGCCGTGACAGTTCATTTCGAAAACGAAGGCGTCCCTGTGGCAATGCTTCTCGACATCGTGGAAGTTGCGCGCTCGCATTCTGGCCTCAATTTGGCGGCTGCATTTGTGAAGGTTCTTGAAGATTTCGGGATTGAAGACAAGGTGAGCAAAGAATCTGGTGGAGAGGGTGTAAATAACTCACCGAATACATCAAGATCCTCTCGATCACCTGTGATAATGCCTCGAACAACGACAAAATGATTGACGAACTTGTCAACTTGCTTGACGACTTCCCAGGTCCTGCAAATCAAACACGATGTTTCCTACACATCCTAAACCTTGTGGTAAAGAGCATCATCCGACAATTTGACTTACCCAAATCCAAGAAAACATCGGATGACGAGGACGAAGATGATCCTATGCTGGATGCAGCTACAACGGAGCTTTTGAAGCTTGCTGGTGATATCGATCTTGAGGAACGTATCACTGCGAGCGCTAGTGATGACGACGAAGCGGCTGATGATGAGGAGGAGGGATGGGTTGACGAACACGAGGATATGACTGAGGAGGATTTGAAGGAGTTGGCGGCCAGCGTGCAGCCTGTCCGATTGTTGTTGACGAAGGTAACAACATGAATTATATTTTGTTTTATTATCTAATGTTTGTGGTCAGCTGCGAAAGGTTGCGTTTGCAATCAAAAACTCAACAACCATTGTTCTACCCCAATGGTTTGCGGTTCTTCAAGATCTCGAACTCTCTGAACGGATGATGCCCCGCGACGTCACCACCCGATGGAACTCGACCTTCGACATGCTTGACTTCGCTGTCGAGCACATTGCCGCCATCAACACCATCACTGGTGATCGTGATATGAAGCTGAGGCAGTACGAGCTGAGTGAGGACGAGTGGGATGTTGCACGCCAGCTTCGGGATGTTCTCGAGGTGTGTATTCTATTGACTATTCTCAAACTTGGTTGATCATTCTACATCATTAGATTTTCAAAGACGCGACATTGTTCTTTTCCCGAGGAACGCCCAGCATCGCCACTGTCATACCAGCTATGGACCACATTGACGAACACCTCGCCACAGCCGCTATCGACAACAAATACCCTCTGGCAATCAAGGCAGCCCTTGCAATCGGCAAAAAAACCCTCAACCGCTACTACGACAAAACCGATCATTCCGAGGTGTTTAGGATCGCGATGGGTACATATCTTATTACTCTCTTGTTTTCTCCTTCTTACCCATGGCTAGTATTACACCCTCGTCACAAGCTTCAATACTTCAAAAATGCAGGATGGCAGGACGAGTGGATCGACAGAGCAGAGGAAATTGTACGTACGGAATTCGACCTATCATATGGATCCATAGAGGCCACCTCGGCAGAGACTCGACTTCCTAAATCGAAGGTACGTGTTTCGACATTGTCATCCTTATAAAGTCTACCATTTACTATAGGTTGCATCGTCCAAGTCTAAAAACATCTTCGATAACCTACCTTCCCTCCAAGCACCCAAACCGGCGGAGTTGCGTGGCGAATTGGATAAGTTTCTGAGCACCGACCCCGAGCACGTCACCGATGCCCTAGCCTGGTGGTGGAAGAACAGAGGCGCCTATCCTCGTCTTCATCGGATGGCGTTAGATTACTTATCGATCCCAGGTAAGTTGTATTATCTCATTACTGGATATATTTTTGACCATAAACTACTGCTAGCAACATCAGTGGACGTTGAACGTACATTCAGCCAGGGCCGACTTCTCCTCTCACACATACGCAACCGACTTTCCGTTCAATCAACGCGGGCCTTGTTATGTCTCGGAGTCTGGAGCAAGATGGGGTATGTGAAGGACAAGGATGTGAAGGCAGCCACTGTGTTACCTGAAGTGGGCTCGGATGAGGAGGAGATCTTGAGTGATGACTGGGATGCTATCTAACTAGCTTTTTCTTGATGTTAGACCTGATTCAATGTTTAATCCCGTACGGGTTTTGATACCCGCGGGTTATTCCCAACCCTTGACCCGAAGCTACAAAAACCCGTACCCATGTGTATGGGTACGGGTTTTGACGGGTATGGGCACGGGTTGCCCTGGAAAACCCCAGGGTAGCCCGTGACATTCCCTAGCAGTAGATATGTTGCACAAATCGTTTGGACTGGCCAAGACGAAGAGCACTCAGCAAAACACCAGAGTGCACCACAAAGAGAGGGTGCTGTGGCAAAGAGAAGGTGGCGTGGGAAGTTGAACTTGAAGAGCTAGATTTGATGACGCACGAACATTTCCTGATCATTTGATGGGGGGAAGTTTCGTGCGTCATCGGAATCTATGATGAATACTACCGAAGTTGCACAGCCTCAGTACAAATGCTCAAGATTCTATGATGCACAAACATTTCCCGATCATTTGATGGGGGGAAGTTTCATGTGTCATCGGAATCTGTGATGCCAAGAGGACAAGAGATGAGAGATGAGATCTAAAACTTACCCCCTGAGATCTGCCCCCCCTGCATTTGTATATTGTGGCAAAGATTGTTTAAAAAGGAAATAGATCATGTCATCTACTTCAGAAATACATGCTATAGCTCAATTAGAGATTCTGTGCACCCTATAACATCCCAAAATCAACATTGAAACGACTCCCACTTATTTGTGAATATTTGTTACTGTTTAACCTGTATATCAATAGTCTTTTAATTGATCAGATGTAAAATTTATCATCTATTTCGTTTTTGCAACTGTTTATTTGTGTTTGTTTACCAGGAACGTAACATCACCATGACCACGGAAATGAGGAGTACCCATCACAAAAGAAATCATGTTATTTGGATCAAAACTCGCTGAGTTATACATGAATCTGTATTTATTACCGAAAATGGTAACTGATCTGAGATCTACTATGACGCACGAAACTGTCCCCCATCAAGTGATCGGGAAATGTTCGTGCGTCATCGCTTCTTGAGTTCCAAGTGTTGCCTAAAGAAAAATGTGTAACTTTACCAAATCAAGTCCAATTCAGATGAAATAAAATGCAGAAAAAATGTAAAATTTCAGGGATCATACCTGTATACAATTCATTATGTAATAGGGTCAAAGTCCAAATAAACATAGAAGAATCTGAAGCTCACCAACATAAAATCTAAAATAAATGAAATAAAACACCAAGAAAAATACAGTTTGTTTTTATGTATATTATGTAATAAAAGCTATGTGCACAAATAGATATATGTTTGCACAAAATCAAGCTAATGCAAGCTTTTTCAAATGAAGAAGTAGCAATAAATTGGCACAAAAATTAGAAGAAAATGGCTGATGGTGCTCACCATTGGTGACAACATTTGAAAACACTCTCAGGGTCTCTGGTAAATTTCTGTATATGGCACTCAGCATTTGTGCAACTGAAAAATAGCAATTAAATGGCAGAAAAAATGGAAAACAATTGAAGAATGGTGCTAACTGTTGATGTTGATGTTAGGAATGTTTCAAGGGTCCCAGGTGCATTTCCTTATATGGAAATTTATTCAACAATTGCAGAAAATAACACGAAAATCAGAGAAAGTTGGAATATGGTGCTCATTGTTAGCAATGATGTTATGAGTCCTCTGAGTTTATAAAGACACTAGTTTGTTACTCTCTGATCTCAAGGATTTTTTCAGTACTTCTAACACTGAATCTTGCCTTTCTTCCCATAAGATTTGATGGTTTGATGATGTTGTCAAACATTTTTTGGAAGGGAAAAATAGTGATAAAAACAGAAGACAAATCAGGAACAAATGGGGGAGAATATGCATTGTTGATGACAATGTTGGGGACCATTTTCAGAGTACATGGCATATTTTCAACTGAGGTAATGTGCACTTTTTGAATCAAAAAATGGCAATATAATAGTAGAAAAATCAGAAAGAAATTGAAGGAAGATGCTCACTGTTTGTGCAATACTGGGGAGCATGTTCAGGGTCCAGAAGAAAATTCCATACATAATAATCTAGTTAAAAATGGCTATAAAGGACTGGAAAAAATTAGTGAAAAATGGAGCATAGTACTTATTGTTGCTTTCAAGGTAGGGACTCTCTGTAAGGTCCAGTATTTTATATACATGGAAATATACAATTTGTCCAATAAAAAATAGCAATAATATATATATATAATGGGTATAGATCTGATGGGCTTTCAGGAGGTGGTCACATGACCAGTTTCCTAAATAATCAAAAATGTGAATGCTGTGGTGCTGCATTGTGGCTTCCTGAATATAAAAAGGACTCGTATCTGCCATGCTTGCAATGGCCCTCTTACACAAGTGCAGTTAATGCATATATCACGACACGAATTGAGGGCATTCTAACCTCATTTTCAATTGATCCACACAAGCTTCTGGAAGGCATGGAGACCTGTGGTGCGTTTGTTGGGGGGTCTGTTGCCCTTCTTGCAGTGCTGGCAAATGTCGACAGTTTTGCCCCAAATGATCTAGATATATATGTACCAGAAGCTCATGCTGAAACCTTGGCCAAGCGCATTTTATCCAGGTTTAAATCTGTTGGCGGTCACTCGCCAATCTATGATTTGAATCCTGCTATCACTCACGTTGAATGGTACACTTCCAATTTCCATCCCCTCATTCATGTCAACATTATCGCCACCAAATCCACGTCACCCTTGGAGGCCCTATTCCATTCCGGTGCATCCATTACCATGAACGCTATAACTGGGCGAGGAATTTTCACTGCTTATGCTGATCTAACAGCCCGTAAAATCAGCTTGCTACCTTTCAGTTTATCCCTGCCCACCGCCAAACTCTTTCGTGCAGTGAGAAACAGATCATCTTTGCCCCAGGATGAGGCACATACCATTCTCGCTCACTTTGGAATTTCAGTACCAGTTACAGCATTGCCTTGGGAGTTGATGGAACTTCTCGTTAAAAAGTATAAATCGAGAGTTGGGGTTACCTTTATCCGTGATCTAGCAGCGATCAAGGACCATACCTGTGG